GTGCTTGGAAAAGTAAGGGTGTCAAGAGACCCTCAACCAGATAGATGGACTGACAGAGTGACTGCAGTAATGGACTCAATTATGTGAGAGATTATGAGGATAGTACAGGGTTCAGATCTTTTGTTCACAGAGTCTCAATGGGTTGTACTCAACTCAACTGTACCTAAAAACATAACAAGATCTATTAAATGTGGAATAAGGTAACATTATCCAGTTAGCCCTTCCTAGTTCTAACATTTCATGAATATTTAGTTGTTTCTATACTTCATTTCCAACAACTGTAATGGTCTTTATAGAGTAATAGTCCTCTCCTCGACAAGCTGGTAAACAGTCACATCACCAACTCAAAGGCATGGTGTTCAAGTCCACCAGCTGCTCTAGAGGAGAAAGAGGAGCAATCCTCTTGTGTGATTTATAGCCTCTGAAAAGCCTCTCAAGTGTCAGCTATGAGTTGGTTGTGACTCGATGGTAACCAAGTACTGCAATAGCAATGAATTTGGGAGAGTTGTAATAATTGTCTACTTAACCTTTTAAAATATGGCAAAACCATTTTTTTTCTACTTTGTATTTGGCAACTCAAAAGAAGCACCTCTCTGAAGTTCAAATCCACTGGAAGTTGCTTGGGAGGAAGACGGGCAATCTCCTTCCCTTAGATGTACAGCCTCTGAAAATCCACTAGAGAGCCAACTATGAGTTGGCTCTGATTTGATGGCAGTGAGCTAAGAATAGCTGTCATTTTTGAAATGGAAATTTGGAATCAATTCTAATTTAAGAAGTAACAAATTACAATAATGAGAACTAAATCAACCCCAACAGTCTGAATTATAGACAGTTAAAATATTTTTTCACTATGAAAAAATGACTAAGAATAATCAGTTATAAGACAAAATTGTACTAGGATGACAGAAAGACAGTCTTTACATAAATATACTTTCAATAACTCAACTCACTGCCATTGAGTTTGAACTGATATATCCTAAATATACTATTGTTGTTTTGTGCTGTCAAGTCTGAGTAGACTCATAGCTGACCCTCCAGTGGGTGGATTTTGAGAAGCAGTAAATCACATAGGAAAAGACTGCTCATATTCCTTCTCCGGAGCAGCTGGTGGATTAGAACCATTTGCCTTTGGGATTGTAGCAAAGCTTCTTACCACTAGGCCACCAGAGCTCCTATAAATATATCATAGGCTAGGCAAAAAGAAATTATTCCGAGTTCTATGCATTGAGACAAGCAACTATGAAAATAGTGCCAATAAATAAGACTGAATACTTCAGATATATAATAAAAATTTAATAGTAATATCATAAAATAAACAAAAGTATAAAAATCAAGTACTTACGTTTTGGATGTTAAAAATAATATATGTAACAACTTTAACACAGTATTGATAGTGCTGCAAAGTATGATTTTATTTTTATAATTCTAAATTGTGCCAATCTGGCTGCATTGTACTCAGAGGTTCAAAAATCCAGCTCCCTTTATTATAAGCATCTGCACAGAAGACATACCTACCGAAACCATAGAATAACCGGACTACTGAAATGGAGATGGTATTGTGATCATCATAACGACCTAACCAAATCCTCTCATAATAAGTAAATGAGGCACATTTTCTACCCTTTCAGTTACTAGGTAATATAATTGTCAGAGAGACAACATAAAAATTATTTTTTTATCTTCAAAACCCTGAAGCACATGCTCTAGATGAAGTTAAAAATTAAATAGGCAACGTTTTGCTACATGCTTGGACAATGCTAAAATGAAGACCCATTTTTATATTTACTATAATATTCCTGGTTCTGGTCCAATTAATAACAAAATTAACCTATTTTAAAAATCTCAGGATATAGGATTCTGTTATTTTTTCATAATCAAGTCTTTCAATGATTTCTAAGCCTGTTTGTGTTGAGCTAGTTTATGATATACTGACTGAAAAAAAGGACTGATTATATAAATGTTAAGGTTTAAGATTCTATTCTTAGAACTTTAAAGATTTAAATAGAGCCCTTGACAAAGTTATTCGAAGCAGACTTGCTGACCAGAATGAAAACATGTACTAGACAGAAAAAAATGTCTAGCCTAAGTCTTTAAAAAAAAAAATCTTACACAGATCTTTCATAATATGGGTTAATACTTTGCATCCTGAAGGCATTTGCTGAAAGTCAAGCAGACCTTGCAACATGATAAATAGTCTTTTCAATCATTGTCTATACGGATCAGTGTCCCTTAAACTTTGGATGGGTGATTTGACAAAATATATATTATATAGGAAGTAACATCTCAAAGAAAAAAATAAGATAGATAATATACTGGACTCTTAAGTGAAAATGGCATGTTTTCCCATCTTTTCCATGCAAACAGCATGCCCATGTTAAGGCTGATATATTTCAGGTATAAGTAACTGTTACAGTTCCCATTGAAGCTTGTTATTGTGATAAGCTGAGTTCAAAGGCTTTCTTACAGATGAGGTTTAAGGAATGTTTTCCAAATCAGGATTATTCATCATTATCTGTATGAAAAAAGAGAAAAAATTAACTCATTTAATTTCAAAACAAAAAGAATCTACTCATTCTACTTTATACTAAAGGAAAAGCTTTAATGTAGCTTTTGTTTTATAATTTATCTCATTGTTTTTCTTGCAAAAATATATACCAATTTTTCCTGTCTTTTGCTTAACTTCCCAAATATGATGTTATCTCCGAAAACTGGACCCTCCTGACAACATATCCAAAGTATGAGAGACAGAATTTCACCATCCTTGTGGTCAAGGACCACCCGGGTTTCACTTTCTTCAGGACAAACTATGTTCTCTATGGTAGTCTATGGAATATTTGATACTTCTCTACCACCACACTTCAAAGGCTTAAATTCTTCCTTAACTGTAACTGTCTAACTTTCTCATGCATAGCAAGCAATTAAAAAGACTATGGCTTGGATCAGGTGCACCTTACCCTTTAGGCTGACATTGTTGCTCTTTAGTACTCTGGAGAGGTCCTTGACAGCAGATTTTTCCAATGCAATTACTCTTTTGATTTCCTGACTACTGGTGTCAAGGGAATTGATTGTGGAGCCTAGCATGACGAAATTTTTTACAACTTCAATATTTTCTCCATCTATCATGATTCTTACCACTGGACTGATAGACAGCATCATGGTGGATGGTGAGGAGATTAAAACTATCAACAGCTTCATCTTATTTGGATCCACAATTAACACCCTTGGTACCAGCAGTCAGGAAATAGACACATTGCTCTGGGAAAATCCACAGTTAGGGACCTCTCCAAATTATAAAAGAGTAATGATGTCAGTTTGATGACAAAGGTGCATATGATTCAGGCCAGGGTCTTTCCTATTATTAGCTATGCAGCTGAGACCTGGACAATGAATAAGGATGACAGAAAAAGAATTCATACCTTTGAGCTGTGGTATTGGAGAAAAGCACCGAAGATCTCATGGATGGCCAAGAGAATGAACATATTTGTCTTAGAGAGGGTGCAGCCGGAGTGCTCTTTGGAGACAAGAATGATGAGGCTTCACCTCACATACTTTGTACATGTTGCTAGGAAGGACTATTTTTTGGAGAGGGACATGATGTTGGGAAGGGTGAAGGGTGGGTGAAGGAGAGGAAGATCCTCAACCAGGTGGACTGACATGGTGAGTGCTGCAAAGGGCTTTTGCCTGTCAGGAAGTGTGAGCATGGCACAGGATAGAGCAGGGTTCAGATCTCGTTTATAGGATTACTATGAGTTGTATTGGACCAGACAGTATCCGACAACAACAATCACGATGTTGTCCACTGACCCAGCAGGGAGGAATTTTGTTTCCTTGATGTTGAAATGCAATCTTTATTGAAGGCTGTAGTGCTTATCTTGTGTAGCAAAGGCCTTAAGTCCTCCTCCCTTTCAGTGGCAAGGTTAAGTCATCTGAACAATGCAGGCTATTGCCAAGTCTTCCTACAATCCTGATGTCACACATTTCTTCATAAAGTCCAGATTCTCAAATGATGCATTAATTATATAGATTGAAAAGTAGAAAGGATACATCCCTTGCACATATTTTTTCTTGATTTTGAACCAAATAGTGTTCCCTTGCTCTGTTCTGACAACAGCTTCCGGGTGTAGGTACAGATTTTACATGAACAATCAACTGTTTTGGGATTTCCATTCTTTTTAATGTTAGCAATAATTCGTTGTGATCCACGTAATCAAAAATGCTCTGTACAGAGTACCCAGAAATAGACCCAGCTATCTATGGTCAACTGATATTCTATAAGGAAATCAAAGATATCAATGGGGAAATGATAACCTCTTCAACAAAAGGTGCTGGCAAAACTGGACTTCCACCTGCAAAAAGCTGAAACAAGATGTGTATCTCATGCCATACACAAAAATCAACTCAAGGTGGATCAGAAACCTGGGAGTAAAGCCCCAAACCATAATGCTCTTAAAAGACAACCTGGGACCAAGCTTAGAAGTGCTAGTCAAAGGTATAAAGAGACTGCCAAATACAACCAGAAATGTACAATCTAAAGAGGATAACATTGATGCATGGGAACTTCTAAAGGTTAAATCTCTATGGACATCATAAACTTTTCCCAATAGGGTGAAAAGAAAACCTACAGACTGGGAACAAACATTTGGTAATACCATCTCAGACAAGAGTCTTATAACAAAAGTTTACAGAATACTCCTGGGCTTCCACAAGAAAAAGACTGAGAGCTCAATTACAAACTGGGCAAAATACATGTAAAGAATTTTCACAGAGGAAGATATTCGAATAGCAAACAGACACATGAAGAAATGTTCCAAATCACCGGCAAGAAGAGAGATGCAAATTTAAACCACAATGAGGTACCATCTCACTCCAGTAATAGTGCAAAGTTTAACAGGGCAGCAAGTAATAGATATTGGAGAGGATGTATCAAGAAAGGAACACCTACACATTGTTGGTGGGATTATAAAATGGTGCTACCATTCTGGAAGGCAGTTTTGTGCTTCCTTAAAAATCTGAACATAAGAAATTCCAAAAGACGCAGCTATTCAACTACTTGGAATATACCCTGAGAATATGAGAACTGAGGCACAAACTCAGATTTGTACACCAATGTTCATAGCAGCATTATTCACAATCTCAAGAATATAAAAACAGCCCAAATGTCCAACCACAAACAAACAGATTGAGAATTATGGTACATTTACACAATGGAATACTATGCAGTACGCAGGATCAATAATTTTGTAAAAGATTCCCTAATTTGGGAGGGACTGGAGTGCAATATGCTGAGTGAATTAACTCAGTCCCACAAGGATAAATAATGTATAAGACTGTTATTCTAGGATGAGTATAAGGATCCAGGAGGGGTGGGAGAGGTTGAAAGTAGAGGAATGTGGATCTACAGCGGGAAAGAGGGGATTAATCATTGGGTTGTATAATGGGGGGTGGTGAGGGAAAGTGAAAGAATTTGTTCGATTTTGTATTAGAATTTTATAAACAAACTAATGAAAAGAAAAATGTCAACTTGGGGAGAGGGAAGGGACGGAAAAGGGGTAAAATGTGCAACAATGAATGAATGAAAAACTAACTTATCTGTAAACTTTTGTTAAAATGATTAAAATAAAAAAATTTAATTAAAAATGCTCTGTATAGTTGATAAAGCACAGCAGACATCCTTCTGGTACTCTGCTACATTAGGATAACACATGCGCACTTTAGATAGACTTTAGAAGACTGAGATAATATGGAGTTATTAAATAAAAAATAAAAACTATCTATAAAACAAATACAAGAACTCAAGTGTAGTGAAATCAATTCTGACTTTAAGCCAAAATGTATAAAAGTAGAACCATGTTCCATACATTTTATAGTAGCTTCATAAATAGACCAACAGACTTTCTTCTGATGCACTTCTGAGTGGACCTGAAACTTCAAGTGGAGCAGCCAAGGTTGTTAATTATCAACACCCAAGAACTCTGAGCCAAATGCAATTAATGGTAATTTTACATAAATTTTTTCTGATTGCTTACACACATGTTGTGGTTATGAGACTCACAGTGACTCTGTACAATGGCCCTAAACTCTGCCCTATCCTGTGCCAATGTTATTGTCTCTGATACACCTCCCACATTACTCCAGTCACTTAATCAATCCATCTCATCGAGGGACTTCCTCTCTTGCGCTGTGCATCCACATTCCCAAGCATGACATCCCTCTCCAAGGACTGATCTCGCCTTGCAACATGTCCAAAGTATGTCAAACTCAGACAAAGCTTCAGAATCTTTACCTCCAAGGAGTATCCTGGTCTCACCCTCTCTAGGCTGAACCTGTCCATTCTCTTGGCAGCCCATGATGTATTCAATACTATTCTCCAGTACGACAGCTCAAGGACATCAATTCTTCTTCTATTATCCCTAATAACTGTCCAGCTATCTGTTGCATAGCAAGTAATTGCAAAGACTACGGCCTGGATCAGGTGCAATTTAGTCTCTGGACTGACAACATTGCTCTTCATTATTTTAGAGAAATTTCTGACAGCAGACTTTCCCAATGCTATCTGTCTTTTAATTTCCTGGCCACTGGTACCAAGACTGATGATTGTGGAGACAAGCAAACTAATTCCAAAAAGGTTGGCGGACACATAAGAAATTTCATGAAGCAATGTATATATATCACCTGCGACTCAATGGCACTTAACAACAACATATATATGTGTGTGTGAGAGAGAGAAAGTATATATGTTATTGTTATATGCCATCAAGTCACCTATGATCCATACAACCCTATGCACAAATAGCTCTGAAATCTGCCCTGACCTGAGCCAATCTCTCTGCATCTGACACACTTACCCCCAATACCCCAGTTATTGTGTCAACTAATTTCATCTGGGGTCTTTCTCTTCTTCTACACTTCTAAGCATGATGTCTTCTCCAATGACTGGCCCTCCTGCTCAAAGTATGTGAGATTGGGTTTCAAAATCCTGGCTCAAAGGAGCAACTTGGTCTCACCTTCTCCAGGATAAACTTGCTTCTTCTCCTGTCAGGCCATGGTGTGTTCAATATAATTCACCAGCACCACAACTCAAAGGCACTGATTCTTCTTCTGTCATCCTTAGTCACTGTTCGGCTCTCTAATGCATAATATGTAGTTGTGAAGACTATAGCCAAGACCCTTTAGTCTCTAGACTGACATTGTTATTCTTTAGCACTCTCGAGAAGTCCCTGACAACCGATTTTTCTAATGTAATTTGTCTTTTGATTTCCTGACTGCTGCTGCCAAGAGTGTTGACAAACACTTTCATCTCTTCTCCATCTATCTTGCTGCCTACTGGCCCAGTGGTGAGAATCTTTGTTTTCTTGATGTTGAGCTTTAATCCATATTGAAGACTATAGTCCTTGACCTTCTGTGGCAAATGCTTCAGGTCCTCCTCAGTTTCAGCAAACAAGGTTGTGTCATTTGTGTAAAGTAGATTGTTGTCGAGTCTTCCCTCAATCCTGATGTCACATTCCTTATCATAAAGCCTAGTCTCCAGAATAATCTGTTCTGCATATAGATTGAAAAGGTACGGAGATAGGACACATCACTGATGCACTCCTTTCTTGACTTTGAAGTTTCCTCACTTTGTTCTGACAACTGTTTCTTGGTCCAAGGATACATTTTGCATGAGCACAATGAGGTGTTCTGGTATTCCCATTCTTCTGAGGGTTAGCCACAACTTGTGATCCACACAGCCAAAAACTTTTGCATAGTCAATGAAACACTTAGAAAACCAAATGACATGGTTCAAATGATTGAGGCAGCCTTGGATATGCTCATCAGTGTATGCCAGGAAATTTGGAGGATAATAGCCTGGCTGACTCACTGGAGGAGAGCCATGTTTGTTTCCATTCCCAAGAAAGGTGATTCAACAGAATGTAGAAATTACTGAACAATATCATTAACTCACATGTAGACAAAATACAGCTTAAGATCATTTAAAAATGACTAGAATAGTACTACAACAGTACATAGAGAACTGTCAGATGTTCAAGCTGAAATAAAGAAGAGGTCATGGCACTTTGGACATCACTGCTGATGTCAGATGGATCCTGGCTAAAAGCAAAGAATACCAGAAGAATGTCTATTTGTGCTTTACTCACTATGTAAAGGCATTTAACTGTTTAGATCATAAAAATTATAGTTAATATTGAGAATAATGGGAATGTCAGAACACTAAATTGTGCTCGTGCAAAACCTATACCTAGACTAAGGAGGCTGTTGTGCAAACAGAGCAAGGGAACACTGGATGGCTTAAAATTAGGAAAGGTGTGTGTCAGAGTTGTATCCTTTTTCTGTATCTATTTAATCTGTATGCTGAGGAGATTGTTTGAGAAGCTGGACTCTATGAGGAAAAATGTGCTATCAGGATTAGAGAAGGCTCATTAATAACCTTTGTTATGCCAATGACATAACCAACTTTATTTCTAGGATAAAGAAATTATTGTCATACCAGATCCTTTCTGTCCCATATCTCTTTTTCATTAGTGTACTAAAGCAAATGTGATATTGCTACCTTAGGGGTATACTTGTGTATCCCTGATATCTAGTGCTCTGAAGTGGGAATGCCTTATATGTAGGCACATATCCTTTTGAAGATACTTAGCTATCAAAAGTGGGGATCATTTTTATCCTGCAGCTCAGCCATTTGTTAAAAGTTTTCCTTTAAGGGGAAATACATTATAAAAGCTCTTCAGATAACTGTCAAGCAAAACTGAACCACAAATAACTGTTGTTTCATTCTTAGGGAAAGGTGAACTGAAACAACACTCAAAGAGAAGAATCTGAAGTATTAACAGCCTGAATATGACTAGAACGGATTTGATACTCTTTCTGGTCTAATGCTATTAACTCACACGGTGTTATATTATGAGAAACAGTTCCATGAAATCCAAGTACTGTAAAAATTACTAGGGTTATTTTCATTGCATTACATGCTATTTTATAAAACAGTCCCAAATCGCTTAAGTTTTATATAATATTTAACTTCTATATTTTCTTTCTGATAGTAATTAAAATAGTATTTTAATATTTAAAAAACCAAAATATGGCTGGCAGTAATAATTCACTAGTGACATGGCCAAAGACTAAGCCTTTAGGTTTTCAGTGGACTCTTTGCACACTTGGATTATTGTGTACTGAGAAAAAAAGTTTTCCTTTAAAGGAATCTGAGTTATTAAAGCTTAAGGAATACTTTATTGTGCTGCTATGAGAAATTTTGATCCCAAACCAAAACCAGTTTTTCCATCTGAATGACTTAACATGTTTTACATGTATGAGTCAGGAAATCAAAAGACAAACTGAACCAGAAAAATCTGCTGTCAGGGACCTCTCCAGAGTACTGAGAAGCGACAATGTTAGTCTAGAGACTAAGGTGTGCCTGTTTCAGGCTATGGTTTTTGCAATGATTTCCTATGCACCAGAGAGCTGGACAATGAGTAAGGATGACAGAAGAAGAATCAATGCCTTCAAGTTGTGGTGCTGGAGAAGAGTCGTGAACATACCATGGACCTTGGAGAGGGTGAAGCTAAGTTTCTCCTTGGAGGCTAGATTTTGAAACTCCATCTCACACTTTGGGCACATGGCCAGGAAAGAGAAGGACTTCATTCTCAGAAGGGTGGAGAACAAGACACAAGAGGAAGACCTTGTTTGTGATGGACTGATACAGTAAATGAGGCACTGGGGGTAGGTGTGTCAGTCACTGAGACTGGCTCAGGACAGGGCAGACTTCAGAGCTGTTGTAAATACTGTTGCTATGAATTACAAGCGACTTAATGGCACATAACTGCTACAACAAATGAAATGCTTTTAGAAAAGATTTCTATCAATGCGGACAATTAAAGAGTATGGTCTAGACTATAAGGACAGTTCCAAAAGAGAAGTTTAAAATAGTTTGTTTAACAGAGTATTTTTATTAGATTAAGCCCATAAACTCTACTTTGAAGCAATGAGTATTTACTTGGTTAAGTAAAAATTTATTTTTTCATAATGCAAATTGCGTAATGTTATATTATTCTCCTTAACAAATTTTCTATAGGAAAGAATAACCTTAAGTTTCTATTGGCAGATTTCATAGTAATCATCATAAAGACAAAAAATTATTCCGCTTGTATCTGGTAATTTTTAATAGTTTTAAGCCCTAAAGGGGCTAGAGAAAATCACAGAGAATAATAAATGCAGCACTGATTAATATAAAAGCAAAATAGCTTTTACAATCAGGATTTCTAATAATTTTAAGTTGTGACAGTTAGTGCTCTGCTAAGGTAAGAGTAACAAAAATATAATGGTTTTTGAATGTGTAAGACAAAAGTACTTAATGTTTTTGGATACTTCCTATTTGAGGTTAATAACAACTTTTAGATTGATTAAACTAACCAAGACGAGTAGTTCCATTAAAATGATTGGTGAAACTTTTTTTTTGTTGAGTTTTGATTGTAGTTGACTGATGTTAAAAGGGAAAGCCACCTTTTGTTTGAATAATGTAATAAAGACTTAACATATTTGGACAATTCTATAGATAAATGTTTTCCCAATATAAACAACATTCAAATTCTGAATGGAAGAGGTATAGATTAAGGAAAGATTTTACACAGTGCTGAAGTATGTCGTCATGTGTCGTCGAGTCGCCTGCAACTCATAGCGACCCTATGTACAACAGCCCTAAACCCTGTTTCGTCCTATGCCAATCTTATTCGCTCTGACACACCTACTCCTGTTACCCCAGTCACTGAATCAATCCATCTCATCAAGGATCTTCCTCTCTTGCGCTGTCCTTCCACCCTTCCAAGCATGATGTCCTTCTCCAAGTACTGGGGGCTACTTGCAACATGCCCAAAGTATGTCAGATGAAGCATCAGAATCTTTGCCTCCAAGGAGCAGCCTGGTTTCACACTCTCCAGGACAAACCTGTTTGTTGTCTTAGCAATCCATGGTATATTCAACACCATTCTAACACCACAACTCAAAAAAAGTATATAAAACTAAAAAGTATAATGCTGAAGCCTTGGCAAGAATTATTCTAATTTCTAGAGCCATTCAAAGATGTATTTTTAAAAACCCTTTAAAAAAAAAACACCATTAGGGATGCCAATTGTAACTTTAGCTTACCTCTCCATCAAAGACTTGATACTATTTTCTTTTTTTTGGGGGGGGGGAGGAAATCCTTTAGATCCCACACTCAAATGAAATTAAAAATAATGACTTTAAGGATTTAAGTAATGTCACTAAAATGTATGATAAACAAAACTTCATTGCCAGAGAGTCATAACTCTTTGTTGACCCTGCAGCAGGTTTTCAGAGGCTGCAAATTGCATGGGAGGAGATTACCTATCTTTCTCCCACTGAGGAGTGTCTGGTGGATTAAAATCAGCTGCTTCTAATTGGCAGCACAATTCTTTTTTTTTTTTTTTTGGGAGCAGCACAATTCTTAATCCACAAGGTTATCAGAGCTCCCAAAATGTATAATAGTTAATTTCTTATTTTTTTTTTTTTTTGGGAGGAGCACAATTCTTAATCCACAAGGTTATCAGAGCTCCCAAAATGTATAATAGTTAATTTCTTATCTTTTTTTTCATTTACCTAATTCTTTAATTTTTATCCATAATAGTTTGCAGCTTTCAAATGTACAAGTCTTTCCCTTCTTTGTCACCTTTCTTTCATTATTATTATAATACTAGTTTTAAAGTACTAGCTATGGTTCCAACACAGATTATGCCACCATATTTTGTCACCTTGACAGTATCACATTTATCTAAAAATAAAGGCATTTGAGGAAATTATACCTTCTTGATAGGCTCCATCTGCCATGACCAAATGAAGAATTTTGGCATAAAGATGCTGATGTTCACTTCCCAAAATATTCTGAATGACTGTTGAACAAGTTTCAATATTTTCATCTTCATCTTCATGAATAGCCTATACCAAATTTCCAAACATGAGTTAGGATTCAAGTTTTAACATTTCTTTATCAGTGATTTCCCTTATTATTTAGAATAAGTTTACTAAAAAAGATCAATATTTCATTACTATTCAAAGTACATTTAAAAGAAATATTTTTTAGCTGACAATTTACTTGCCTTTACTTTTTCATAAACTTCAAAGAACTTTTCAAAGCCTATTTCCTGCTCCAGTTGAAGCCTCAGCTCCTCTAAATGATTAAAGACACTATCATATTCACATTCACTGGTAATTTCACCATCACTGTTATCTAGAAACACAAAAATATATGAAAGTATTTCATGATTAAAACAATGAACATTCAAAATTCTGTAACAAAGTATATAATGCCATTGAAGTAGAGTACTTTCAATGTAAAGATTTTTTTTTTTGTTACTGTTAAGTTTTATCATCTTTAGGTAACTGAAGCATAATTCTTCTTAAAAAGAAAAACGCACAGCCAGGAGAGGATAAAATTGATTTATGGGGCCTTCTGAAAGTCAAACCCCTGTGAACATCTATAAATTTTTCCAATAAAGTGAAAAGAAATACCACAGATGGGAAAAAACATTTGGCAAAAGTATTTTAAACAAGGCCTCCTAAGTAGTTTACTGAATATAACAAGGCCTCCACAAGAAAAAGACTGATAACCCAATCACAAAATGGGCAAAAGACATGACAAAGAAGGACATTCAGATGGCCAGCAAGCACATGAAGAAATGCTCACAATAATTGGCAATCAGAGAGATGCAAGTCAAAATAATGATGAGATACTATCTCGCTCCAGCAGCAAAAGCAAAGTTCAATAAGAGAGCAAACAATGTTGAAGATGTGGAGAGATCAGAATTTTCATGCCCTGCTGATGAGATTGTAAAATGGTACAACCGCTGTGGAAGGCACTTTGGTGTTTCCTCAAAATGCGGAACACAGAAATTCTCTATGACCCTGCAATTCCACTGCTAAGAGTATACCCCGAGGAAATGAAAACATATTCAATTATTCAACATATAGTGCAATATTCAATTGTGCTATGAGCTTAGTAGTGGAACAGCTGGGTCATATGGGATTTCTGTGTTCCACTTTATGAGGAAAATTTATACTGCCTTCTGTAGTAGTTGTACCATTTTATAATCTCACTGGTAATGTGAGAAAAGTCAGTATCTCTACATCTTCTCCAATATTATTTGCTGTCCAGTTGAATTTTGCTACTTCTGTTGGAGGGAGAGAGTATTACATTGTTATTTGCCAAAGCAAAGGGAGGAAATCAAGATGTTAAGGAGCTGAATAGAAGATTTCAAAGGGCAGCTGAGGAAGACAAAACAAAGTATTATAATGAAATGCACAAAGAGCCAGAGTCAGAAAATCAAAAGGGAAGAACTTGCTCAGCATTTCTTACCCTGAAGAAACTAAACAAATTCAAGCCTTGAGTTGCAGTACTTAAGGATGCTATTGGCAGAATGCAGAATGATCCAGGAAGTATCAAAAGAAGATAGAAAGAAGGTAGTCTTGGCAGCACAGTGATTAAAGCAGTTGGCCACCAAACACAAGGTCTCTGAGTTTGAATCCACCCACTGCTCTGCAAAAAAGAAGATAGAAGTATGCAAAACGACTGTACCAAAAAGAATTGGCTGACAAAGAAGAATTTCATGAAATGGCACATGACAAAGAGGCAAAGATGATAAAGGAGGAAGTTCAAGCTGCTCTGAAAGAACTGGCAAAAAACAAGGCCCTAGGAATTGATGGCATACCAATTGATATATTTCAACAAAAAGATGGAGCCCTCGATGGGCTCACCAGACTGTTCCAAGAAATCTGGAGGATACCTACCAGGCTAACTGACTGAAAGAGATCCATATTTATACCCATTCCAAAAAAAAGTGATCTGTCAGAGTGTGGAAATTACTAAACAATATCACTAATATCACATGCAAGCAAGATTTGGCCGAAGATTATCCAAAAATGATTGGAACATTGCATCAACAGAGAACGGCCAGAGGTAGAAGTGAGAAGAGTACATGGCACGTGGAACATTTCAGCTAATGTTACATGAATCTTAGCTGAAAGCAGAGAGTACCAGAGGAGTGTCAATCTGTGTTTCACTAACCATGCAAAGGAACTTGACTGTGGGGAATCACAACAAATTGTGGCTGACTCTGAGAAAAATGGAAATCCTAGAACACTTAACTGTGTTTACGCAAAAGCTATACTTGGACCAGGAAGCAGTACTCATAGCAGAGCAAGGAAACACTGCAAAATCAAAATCAGAAAAGGTGTATGGCAGGGATTAATCTTATCTCTATACATTTCAATCTATGTGCAGAACCAATCATTTGGAAGGCTGAACTTTATGAGGAGGAATGTGACATCAGAATTGGAGGGAGATTCATCAGCAACCTGTGCTATTCAGATAACATAACTTTGCTTGCAGAAACTGAGGAAGACCTGAGGTGTTTGCTGTAGGTGGTCAAGGACTGCAGCCTTCAATATGGATTAAAGCTCAATATAAAGAAAATGAAGATTCTTACCTCTGAGTCAATTGACAGCATCATGACAGATGGAGAAGAGATAGAGATTGTTAACAATTTCATCTTGCTTGGTTCCACAATAAGCATTTGTGGCACCAGCAATTGGAAAATCAAAAGACAAATCGCATTGAGAAAATCTGCTATCAGGGACCTTACCAGAGTGTGGAAGAGTAATGATGTCAGTAAAGAGACTAAGGTGCACCAGATTCAGGCCATGGTTTTTGTAAATACTTGCCACTGATTAGAGCCAGACAAAAACTACAGATTATAGAAGAATTATGCCTTTGAGCTGTGGTGTTGGAGAAGAATACTGAATATGCCATAGACTGCCAAGATAAGCAGTACTATGAAGAAAAGGGTGAAAACAAGCTGCTCCTTGGAGGCAAGGATTTTGAAGCTGCGCCTCATATATTTTGGGCATGTTGCCAATCAAAAGGAACCAGTCTTTGGAGAAGGACATCATGCTTGGAGTGGAAGAGGGACAGAGCAGGAGAGGAAGACCTCAGATGAGATGAACTGATACTCTAACTGGGCCAAGGGGTGTAGGTGTTTAGTGACAGTGAGATTGGCTCAAGATAGGGAGGGTTCAGAGCTACTGTACATAGAGCTGCTATGAGTTGCAGGAGACTCAACAGCAAGTAACAACAACAACATGCTCACAGCAGAGATATACACAATAGCAAGAAAATGGAAACAACTCAAATGTCCATCAACAAATGGACTGAAAAACTGTGGTGTATTTACACAATGGAATACTGCGAAGCATTCAAGAATAATGAAGTATTCATAAGATAAAAAACAACATGGAGGAGCCTAAGGAGAATTATGTTGAATGAAAGAACATAGTTACAAAAGGAAAAAATACTTCACAAGACTACTACTGTGAAAATTGGAGGATAACTCAGCAAGATATGTATAAATATTCCAAGGGGGAAGTGGGGCAGAGGTGGGGGGGGGATTACTGGAATAGCAGGAGTTTAGTGGGTGGTGGAAGGGTGAAGGAATAGGGAAGACGCAGTGGGGAACTGAAGCATTGGAGTCATTAAAGGCAAAGACCAATAATAATTATAAAAAAATACAACATACATTAATTAAATACAACATACAAGAATGACTGTATGAAAACTAAGAATTTTTAAAAAAAGAATGTTACTTTTGGAATCTATTCTGTTAGAGATAGAAATAGTAAATTAAGCTAGAATAGAAGCCACCTTACTAACACCCCAAAACAAACCCCAAAATTAAAAAAAGAAAGTCCTGTGTTTGACCCTGAAGCTTCCAACTCTGAGGAGTATTGCTAAAAAGAACGGTATTACATATGAGCAATAACATAAAAAGTATGCAGAAAGATAACCACATAGGATACTTATAATTGAGCAGTTGGCCAGGAGGAACCATTCCTTGCAGAAGGACATCATGCCTGGAAGGGTGGAGGGACAGTTCAGGAGAGGAAGACCCTAGATGAGATGGATTGACACAGCAACTGGGGTAATGGGGGTAGCTGTGTCAGAATCACTGAGATTGGCTCAGCACAGGGTAGGGTTCAGAGCTGTTGTACACAGGGTCACTATGGGCCGCAGAAAACTCCATGGTACATAACAACGACAGCAACAAACCACAAAGCTATTATCAATGCTGAATACATTTTATGTTATTCACTGATACCAAGATACTTAGGAGGAGGAGGAAAGGTTAGTTCTTATCAAGAAATCAAGTAATAATATATAATACAGGAAAACAAAGGTAAGAAATGGAAAACAATTACTGACAATGTAAAAGTATAAAAATAATTTTATAAGAACTAGAATTGGATATGCATATGTATATAAAAAGGGTCTCAAAGACAAAGAAACACACTTAATGTAATTAAAAGATCAAAATGTTTCTAATCAAGTATCAGAAAAACATACTCCACTTGAAGCATTTGTACAGATTGAAAAGTAAAAAAATTTAAAAACTCATTCAGTAAGAACATTTTTAAAACTATCATTCAAAAGTTACTAAAATTATATTGATTGATTTGAAAGATTTCAGTAATGCCAGTAAAAGTATATGAAAGAATTAGCTTTACATCTCATAAACTAATCTTAAACATCCTAGCATAATCATGCACCTGATTGCCATTCTTCATTTAGCGCACTTCCACTGCTGGGATTGTCATCCTCCTCGGCCAAATCTGTCCCATTCGCAGTCTGCTCTGCATCACTGGTCTTTAAAACTGATTCTTCCTCCTCACTGTATTCTTCTCCAGGCTGTTCACTAAGCAATTGTTCCATGGAGGCCTGGAGCTCCTGTAAATCTGTGTCAGTTTCTTCAAACACACTGAAATTGAAAATATAAAATTTCAATGAAAAATTTTCCTTAATTTAATCTGTGCATACATATCGTACCCAAAAAATGTGCATGGTGGATAAAAAAAAGTCAGGGGAGGGGGAAATTTTCCATTTTGACAAAGGAAATGATGATGAATAACTGACAAGCATAGTCTGTGATACATAAATCAGAAAATGATTAATTTAAAATGATCCTGAATTATCAAAGAAAATAATAGCATTCAGTGCTTAAATTTAAAAACATTTCAGTATTTTAAGAAGTCAGGTTGAAGGAGTTTTTAATTTGCATTCAATATTAAATAATTTTTTTCTCCTGTAAATTTTAGTGTTAAGTAGATACTGATAAACATGTATAACAGTTGTCCACTATGTAACTTTTAAAAAAATTTTTAATTTATTATAATGAAAGTTTACAGAGACTTTGCTATTGTGAACAAAGCTGTGTTAAACATGGGTGTTCATGTATCTGTTTGGGTAGCAATTATGGTCTCTTTGGGTTATATTCCCAGTAGTGGAATTGCTGTGTCAAATAGTATTTCTATTTGCCACTTTTTGAGAAAGTGCCATACAGCTTTCCATAGTGGTTGCACTACACTATGTAACTTCTTTATGCACTTTTTGTGAGAAATGAAAATGCTCAAGTTAATGGGAAGATGCTGTGAATAATAGTTATGAGAAATTTAATTAGCTGCTCTTGAAAATACCTCTAAGATAGATATTTCTGTATTATTAGTATATATCCTTATTAATGGCATATCATATTCTTACTACAATAAGCTTAAAGAATCTTATTTTAAAATATTTTCAGGATATTAATTATATTTTTATGTATTTATAAAAGATCAAATGTGTGTCTGTGTGTATCTCTGTGTGTCTGTGTGTCTGTCTGTCTGTATCGATCTATCTACCTACCTACCTACCTAATCTTGTTTACTGTTGAGTCAGAATCAACACATAGCTGACCCTCCAGTTGGTTTTCAGAGGCAATAAATTACACTGGAGGAGACTGCCCATCTTTCTCCCCCAGAGTAGCTGGTGGATTAAAATTGCATGCCTTTGAGACTATAATGTAACTTCTTACCATTAGGTCACCAGAGCTTCAAAAATTATGTGCCATGAGTCTCCTGTGACTCACAGTGACTGTACGTAAAATAGCTCTGAATCTTGCCCTATCCTGAGCCAGTCTGTCTCCAACACACCAATCCTCATTACCCCAGATACTGTATCAATCCATCTCATCCAGGGTCTTCCTCTCCAACACTGTTCCTCCACCCTTCCAAGTATGATGCACCTGTCAAGGGCCTGGTCCCTCCTGGCCACATGCCCAAAATTTGTGAGATGCAGCATCAGAATCCTTGCCTTTATCCTTTATCTCCAGGATAAACCTGTTTGTTATCTTGGCAGTCCATGATATATTCAAGACTCTTCTCCAGCACCTCAACTCAAAGGCATCATTTCTTCTGTCAACTATAGTCATTGTCCAGCTCTCTGGTGTACAGCAAGTAATTGGAATTATGGCCTGAATCAGGCATACCTTAGTCTCCAGACTGACATAGTTGCTCTTTACACTTTGGTGAGGTACCTGACAGCAGCTTTTTCCAGGACAATTTATTTTGATTTCTTGGCTGCTGGTGCCAAGAGTGTTGATTGTGGAACCTAGCAAGCTGGAATTGTTTAACCACTTCAATCTCTTCTCCATGTATCATGGTGCTGTCAATCAGCCCAGTGGTGAGAATCTTAGTTTTCTTGATGCTGAGCTTCAATGCATTTTGAAGACTGTAGTCCTTTACGTTCTTCAGTAAACACTTCAGCTCCTCCTCAGTTTAGGCGAGCAAAGTTGTGTCATCTGCATAATGCAGGTTGGTGGTGAGTCTTCCTCCAAACCTGATGACACATTCTTCCTCATAAAGCCCAGACTCCCAAATGATCTGTTCCGCATAGACTGAAAACTTATGGAGACAAGATGCACCCCTGACATACACCATTCCTGATTTTGAATCATGTAGTGCTTCTTTGCATTGTTCTGGTCAATGCCTCCTGGTCCAAGTATAGGTTTTGGATGAGCACAATTAAGTGCTTTGGGATTCCCATTGGTCTCAAGGTAAGCCACAATTTCTTGTGATCTACAAAAATGCCTTTGCACAGTCAGTGAAACACAGATAAGACATTCTATTGTCACTCTTTGTTTTCAGCCACGATCTATCCGACATTGGCAAATGATGTCTCTGGTGACACTGTCTCTTCTAAACCTGGCATGTACCTCTGTTGATGTAGTGATATGGTCATTTTTGGATGATCATCAGCAGGACAATCTGTCGGGTCATCCCTTTTTGGATATGGATCTCTTCCAATTAGTTGGCCAGGAAGTCATCTTCCAGATTTCCTGGCACAATTTAATGAGCACATCAAGGACAGCACCTGTCTATTGAAATATGTCAACTGGTATTCCAATAATTCCTGGGGCCTTGTTTTTGCCAAGTCCTTTAAAGCAGCTTGAACTTTCTCCTTCATCACTATTGCCTCTTGATCATATAATGTTTCATGAAATTCTTCTGTGTTAGAGAATTCCTTTTGGCACAGTGACTGTGTGTACTCCTTCTGTCTTCTTTTAATGCTTCCTCATTCAACATTCTGCCCATAGAATCCTATAGTATTGCAATTTGTGGACTGAATTTATTCTTCAGTTCCTTCAGCTCAAGAAATATTGAGCAAGGTTGGACCTCTTGATTTTCAGACTTAAGCTCTTCACACATTTCATTATATGTAATACTTTGCTCTATCTTCCTGATCTGCCCTTTGAAATCTTCTGTTTAAATCCTCAACTCCCTGATTTCTTCCCTTTGCTTTGGGTTCTTGGTACTCTAGGGCAATATTCAGAGTCTCTGACATCTGTCTTGGTCTTTTCTTCTTCCTGTCTTTGTAATGACCTTTTGTATTCTTTCTGTGTGATATTCTTGATATCCTTCGAAAGCTCATCTAGTTTTCAAGGTCTCAAACCTGTTCCTGAGATAATATTTAAATCTAGGTAGGATAGACTCAAGGTCATATTTTGGTACTTGTGGATTTAACTTTCTTTAGTTTGAACTTGTATATGATTAGTTGGTGGCCTGTTCTAGAATTAGCATCTGGCCTAGTTTTCATACCATATATATTTATAGAAATCTTTGTTATTACTATTGCTATGTACCATACCTTTTCAGTCTTTATGCAGAACAGATTACCCAGGAGGCTGGACTCTTAGAGGAGAAATGTGACATAAGGGTCGAAGGGAGACTCATCAATAATCTGCATTATGGAGATGACACAACCCTCCTTGCTGAAACTGAGGAGGACCTGAAGCACTTGCTGTGGAAGGTCAGGGACTACAGCCTTCAGTATGGATTGGGGCTCAATATAAAGAAAACAAAGATTCTCACCACTGGGCCAATCAGCAGCATCATGATAGATGGTGAAGAGATTGAGATTGTTAAGAGCTTTAGTTTGCTTGGCTCCACAGTCAACACTCTTGGCACCAGCAGTCAGAAAATCAAAAGACATATTGCGATGGGAAAGGCTACACTTAGAGACCTCTCTAAAGTACTGAAGAGCAACAGTGTCAGTCTGGAGACTAAGGTGCACCTGATACAAGCCATGGTCTTTGCAATCACTTGCTGGACAACTACAAGGGATGACAGAAGGAGAATTGATGCCTTTGAACTATGGTGTTGGTGAAGAGTACTGACTATATCATGGACTGCTAAGAGAGCAAACAGGTTTTCCTGGAGAAGTGAAACCAGGCTGTTCCTTGGAGGCATGGATTCTGAAGCTTTGTCTGACATACTTTGGACATACTGTAAGGAGGGACCAGTCCTTTTGAGGGACCTTATGCTTGGGAGGGTTGAGGGAGAACGCCAGAGAGGAAGACCTTTGATGAGATGGATTGATTCAGTGACTGCGGTAATGGGGGTAGATGTGTCAGAAACAATGAGATTGGCTCAGGATAGAGTGGGATTTAAGGCTTTTGTACATAAGGTTGCTATGAGTCGCAGGCAACTAGACAGCACATAACAACAACAACAACATGTACCATGTCAGAACCAACTCACAGCTGACTCTCCAGTGGGTTTTATACTATTACTAAAATTTTAACCACGTTAAATTTACTTCAAAGACATGGAAGATCTGGTTTAAAGTGTCTAAATAATTTGCTCTAGATCATACAATCAATATAAGGCAAATGCAGGACTAAAATCTAAGTCTTCTAACCAATTCTGACTTCTAGCAACAGTCATCAATTTTTTCTCTCTTAGAAACTTGCTTCCTTGTCCTAAAGTGGCACACATATGAAAAAGCCTGTAGAAGCTAAGAGCTAATTGAGGTTTTAGATGGATGCTGAGCTCTAGGAGATTATATACTCTAGTTGACAATTTAATCCACCAGAAAATGTGGTGCTAAATAGGACACAAGAGAGAATTAAGGCCTAAATAAGCATTTAGGCTCAAATCAAATCAACAATACTTTCTAAAGAATTAAAACATTAGTAGTAGTATTCAAACTCTTTCAAGAAAATGTCCATTAACAGGAAAAGATAATAAACTTTTAAATGTGGAAATATCTTTATTTTGTATTTATGTATACATAGAATACTTTGACTTTGTAGTAGCTGTAAAGTAGCTCATAATCTAATTAAAATGAGTGTCTACTCTTTTGAACCATACTGCTAATGCCATTATCTTAATATTTAATTATTAAATGAATTTTTAGTAATTATGCACACCTGCTATGCTTCATTATTACACTGGCTAAACATTAACATGTTGGTAAATTTACCTATCCTCCCAAGACAGTATTGTGGTAAGTGGGCAGCTAAGCCTGCTATTATAAGAAAAGTCTGGGAAGATTAAGATCTTTAGGAATGAGCCCTCAAGAAACTGTCTAAGGTATACTTTACTATCTGATTATGAATTCACTGTTAGTTGCTTTCTTATGACACTTTGAATAAAATTTGGG